TCTAGCAGGTGTCCTCTGACTAAGGAATGTGCCCCTCCTGGGATGTGTCCTGGGACAGTGGGATTCTTTTAATCTTAAATTCAAACTGAGACCTGAATTCTAAGTTCAAACCAAGACCTGAATTCTAAGTTCAAACCAAGACTGGAAAGTCCTACAATGTGAGTAGCCTGTGCTGCCTGCCACCTGAGGCCATGCTGAACTCCTGGCCATGCTGACAATGAGGGCCATGTTGGTGTCTGAGGGCTGATCAGATCTGGCCCACCTGTCACCTGGGTAGCTCAGGAGAGTTAACCCTGTGCCTCCCTCATTGTAATGCCCTAGAGAAAGAGCTCCAACTGGGTCCAGGTGTTAGGTAATCCTGCTCTGAGGGTTTTAGCAAAAGAGAGTTGTCCCTGCCTCTTGACAGCTGTGCAATGGCATGGCCTCTGAAGAGATACCTCCTTTCCTGCCCCTACCCTTCTGCAGCAGGCAGGAGAGCTGGAACCATCCTCTGCTGACCATTTGGCTGTATTGGTATGGAAGAGATGATTCTATCCCTTGCTACCTGTGACAAGCAGAACTGGCAGCACCCTTTGCCTTGGCAGTATGGGAGAGCTGGCCCCTTCCTTGGCCAGCCGAAGCACTTGAGAGTGTGTGGGACTGCGTAAGGGTATCCTGGTTCATGGTTGGGCATGGGCCAGGAACCCCGAGCCTCTAAGTGAGAAACGGCAGGTGTTCGACCATGCCCCCAGAACCCAGAGTCCTGACACGCAGTCTCGTCTCCATAGACCTACATTGTTCAGTCACATAGGCCATTACAGCCCCTCCCAAAGTGCACAGGTAGAGGGTGTGACTAGAGGCCTCAGGCCCTAGGGATTTACATACTAATGAAGGCCAGAGGGCGGAGCAAATTAGGCATGCTTCCCCAGAACCTCTCCCGTTCTCCCTCCCTATTTAACTCAGGTCTGCTCTGAGTTTCAGGGGGGTACATCCAGATCCATCGACCATCCACCATGACAATAAACCCTTTTGGAACTATGGACATTCTCGTGTCTTTGGGGCCTGCCAAAGCCTCCAGGCCTCTGGAACCTTAGACTTTCTCCTGTATGTGGGACCCTCTAGCGTTGAAACCCACTGGGGCACCTCTGCTGTGGCCTATATTTTCCCACAAGAGTGGTCCCCACACACACCAGGACAGCCCAGTAGAGTTGTCTCTGTTGGGGGGGGGTAGTTAAGATGGCCCCCATGGTGTGAACAAGGAAGCACTGGCCCTGAAATTGCTTGGGTGTCTGAGAGATGCCTCATCCCCTTCCTCTTTCTTTCTGAATCAGGCAGGAGGGCTGGCCCCACCCAGCCCTGGTATCCTACTATAGTAAAACCTGAATAGTCTGATAGAGCTGAAACACAAGAAAAAGAAAACCAATTTTATTAAGTTGATACAAGCTTTTAAAAAAGAAGTAAATTAATCCCTTAAGGAATTGGAGAAAAAGAAAAAATACTGGTGGAAAGGAGCAAAGTCTTTTAAAAATAGCCAAGAAATCTACAACAAACAAACACATGAAGTAAACAAATAAACCTTTTCAAGACCTGAAAATGGAAATAGAACCAATAATGAAAATATGAACTGAGGGAAATCTAGAAATGAAGAATCTAGGTAAACAGAGAGGCAAGCATCACCAACAGAATACAGGAAACAGAAGTGAGAATCTCAGTTGTTGAAGATACAATGGAAGAAACAGATACATTGGTCAAAGAATACGTTAAATCTAAAAAATTCTTGACACCAAATATTTAGAATATCTGGGATACCATGAAAAGTCCTGGGAGAGAGGAGTCATGGTTCGGGAAACGGTAGAGTTGAGGTAAGTCTGTGGTTGAAACACAATTTTTGAAAGAAGGATAAATGAAAAATAAAAACAATGGCATAAACTTTTACATCAAAACAAAATAAAAACAAAACAGACAAAACAAAATGACCTCTTTCAAAGAAAAAAGAGCATAGACTTTTATAAGGAACTAATCTTCAATTTTAATAAAATTACATTTAGTTCATGTGATGGACCAGACTCCATCTTAAGGATGAAAGCCATTTTGTTATAGTGTCAGATTAATTCTTTTCTGTTTGTTGCAAAATTCTAGTTGACTGTTGTTAGTATTCTGTCTAAACTCCACCTCCACAGTTACCTGGCAGCAGCCAGGTATCCTCCTCTCCACAGTTACCTGGCAATAGCCAGGTAGGCCTGCCCATTATAAAAGGGGCTGCTTGTCCCCTCCTCCCCCTCTTAATCTCTTGATCTCTTGTCTGTAGCTTCTCTCTGCCTTACCTGAAGATTGAGGGTGGTAGGGAATATGAAAATGCCAGGGGATGTCTAGGCCCTTAGATAGTTTATTCAGGGCATGGGGAGGGGAGCCATGAGAATAGTAGGGAGGGAG